GAGAATGAGAGATTTTTTCCCTTTTCCCATTTTTTCCCCCTTAAGGTCAATAATAAGCACTCTCATAAACAAGCCAGCATAAATTTCCAGAGCCTATGAGTATAATATCTATTATTGGGCTACCTAATATCTTATGGTTGGGGTAGAGCTGTCAACATTTGACCCGACCCGAAAACCCGACCCGAAAATTTCGGGTTCGGGTCAACCCGAACCCGAATCGGGTCAGGTTCGGGTTGGAGATTTCGACCCGTTTGTAAAATCGGGTCGGGTTCGGGTTGACCCGGAAACCCGGAATCAACCCGGTTTGGCCCGGGTTCGCATCATTCGTCCATTCCATCGCGTCGTCTGCGGTTTGTCGACTGTTGTCGGCTGCCGCGCGCGACCGAAACGACGAAACCCGCTGCTGCGGCTGAAACCCGCGTGCGATCGAAACCCGCTGCTAGCCAGCTACCGGCGCGCCGAAACCGTGCTGACTTCGCGGATGTTCTGCTTCGCGCTGATACAAGGGTTCGGTCAACCAACCCGAAGGCGGGTCGGGTTGGGTCCAGAAAATTGACCGTTTGCAAAAACGGGTCGACCCGACCCGAACCCGAACAATGTCGGGTCAATTTCGGGTTTGACCCAAACCCGACCCGTGACCCGAAATTGACACCCCTAGGTTGGGGTGTAAGTTCCTTCATGAGCAACTTGGAAGGAGGTTAAAATAAGCCCCATAGATACCAATTGCTTGCATTAGATATAGTAAGGCGATCAATTTGAGTGGCGTTGTAAGTTAAAGAAAGGAGCAACTCCCTCTAGTTTTCACGTAGTTGTAAGCCACGCATTCCCATTTAGTAAAGGTCTATGTGCTTTTAAACATCAGGGTGTTAGATCGGTCCACTGGACCGGTCCAATCGGTCCAGGCGGGACAGATTTACGGGCGAAACTGCGACGCTATTCTGCCTCTGGCGGATGCCGCGCGAGCCGCGATTCCATGGGAGCGTTTTAGGAAGGAATTTTGAGGAATATTAGGAGGGAAATTGAATGTAGGGACTGTGTAGGGATTTCCTTTTGATTTGTATGCATTAAATACTTTGTTTTCCTAGGGTTAGGGCATCTTGAATTTGGCTGAAATTTGAGATCTCGTAGATTTAGGTTTTCTTTGGGCTTTAGCGGCGTCTAGAGATTTGGGAGAGATCAATCCTCCTCTCGAATAGAGGATCAACTGTATCTAGCTATTTTTCGTTTTCCTTTCATCAAATAATAAAAATTATCTACTGTTTTAGTGGTTTTGTGCGGACTTTTGTGAAGGATTCTCGGTGTTTTTCGAAGATTAATAGGAAATACATGAGATTTACAAGTGTTTCCTATCAAATTGGTATCAGAGCAAGTCTTGGGACTGTTCGTGGGTTATTTTTGGCGAAGTTCGGCGCCCAATTTTTGGTTGAGAAGGGACGAAGTGCTATTTTTATAATCCAAATCCGGAATTTTTGTATTTATAAAAGTTCGGATCGATATGGCGGCCAAGAAAGTTGATGCGCTAGAAGAAAGGCTTGAAGGGGAGATGAACCAAATCAAGAAAACGGTGGAGAAAAGGATTTCCTCCATGCAAGGACAAGTAGCCGATCTCCGGGACATGATGAAGAAAATGTTGGAAATCCATAACCAAACGGCGGCTTCTGTGGCAAAAGAGGAGAAAAGAAAAAACACGAATTCTGAAATTCATAGGGAGGAAGATGAGGTGGAAATCGTGGAAGGAGAAAGAAGGAAACCCGATCTGGAGCCTTTCCAGAGGGAGGATAGATGAGGTAGGTATGGGGAAAAGCATGGGTATGGAGGGACAGAGCAAAAGGGTGCTGATTGGGAATGTCGAGAGGGACATTATGGCCACTGAGGTGCTGATTTTGAAGAAATAAGAGGAGAATTCGAAGGGGGTTTGGGCTATGGCAGGGCAAGGGAAAACCGAGAGATGTGGGGTGGGCCGAGCACTTGGGAGAGGGGAAGTTATGGAGGAATAAGGGGGAATGGTGGAGATCAGAAGGCGAGGAAGTTGAAGATGCCTATCTTCGAAGGGGAGGATGCATATGGATAAATATATAAGGTGGAGAGGTACTTTGCCGTTAATGGGCTAATGGAGGAGGAGAAGCTGACAGCAGCAGGCCTATGTTTGGAGAAAAATGCACTGTCATGGTACCAGTGGAGAGACCAAAGGAGACCTATCAGGAACTGGAGGGAATTCAAGGAGTACATAATAGAACGTTTCCAAACCGACTAGGGAGGAAATTTTTATGAGCAGTTCGCACAAAAGGGAACAGTAGCAGACTACCGAGAACAGTTTGAGCACCTAGCCAATGGGGTGGAGCGATTATCAGATACGGTATTGGAGGGGGAACTTCATGAAGGGGTTGAAGGCAGAGATCCGAGCAGCAATGAAAGTTCTGATGCCTAATGACTTATGGGAGGCCATGAAGTTGGCACAACTGATGGAAAATCAGAAGAATCTGGAGAAGGGGGCAGGAGAAGAGGGCAAAGGGGTTGTGATTCAGGTGCGAGGAGAAGTATATACTAGGACATCGGTGCAAGGACCGAACTCTTCAGGTTCTCATCGTCTGTGATGACGAGGAAACTAATGAGGGAGGTAAGGGGGAGTTGGAGGAGAAGATAAAGGAGAAGTTGCATTTGGATCTGGCCGAGGTTTCCCTAAACTCAGTGGTAGGATTCACTCTGAATCATACCATGAAGGTGAGGGGGGAGATAAAGGGCAGGATGGTGGTGGTGATAATTGATAGTGGAGCTACCCATAATTTCATTTCCACTCAGGTCGTTGACCAATTGAGAGTGAAATTGGTGGACACCGGTTGTTATGGGGTGATGATGGGTACAGGGAAGGTGGAGAAAGGCCAGAGGATCTATAAAGGAGTGGTTTTGACCATCCAGGGGATTCAAGTAAGAGAAGACTTTCTCCCACTAGAGTTAGGAAGTATTGATGTCATCCTGGGGATGAAGTGATTGCAAACCTTGGGGGAAACCACGGACAATTTGGGAGCACTCATGATGGAATTAATGGTGGTTATAAGGGGAGATGCGGGGCTATCCAAAGCCATGACATCACTTAAGACCATGGCTAGGGACATACAAGAGATGGGGGAAGATTATTTAGTGGAACTATACAAGCTGGATGTGATCAGGATGGAGGAGGGAGGAGATGTTTCTCTTTCAGTGCAGCCCTTGACTCAGCAATTTGGTAAGGACTTTCAACAACCTCAAGGATGGCCACCTCCACGGAAACATGAGCATATTTCCACCTTGAGGACAAGATAGATCTTTGGGAGGGGAGTATTGTTAGACCGATCCACTGGACAGATCCAGGCGGTCCAGGCGGGACCAGTTTACAGGCGAAACCGCGACGTTATTCCGCCTGTGGCGGATGCCGCGCGAGCCGCGATTCCACAGGAGCATTTTTGGAAGGAATTTTGAGGAATATTAGGAGGGAAATTAAATGTAGGGACTATTTAGGGATTTCCTTTTGATTTATATGCATTAAATACTTTGTTTTCCTAGGGTTATGGCATCTTTAATTTGGCTGAAATTTGAGATCTCGTAGATTTAGGTTTTCTTTGGGCTCTAGCAGCGTCAAGAGATTTGGGAGAGATCGATCCTCCTCTCGAAGAGAGGATCAACTGTATCTTGCTATTTTCCATTTTCCTTTCATCAAATAATACAAATTATCTATTATTTTCGTGGTTTTGTGCAGACTATTGTGAAGGATTCTCGCTGTTTTCCGAAGATTGATAGGAAATACTTGAGATCTACAAGTGTTTCCTATCACAGGGGTGCTAGAAAGTTACGGGCTAGCTTAGCTAAGCCTACGTAGGAATTTGTTTGCAAAGCTGGAAGTTGTTAAATCCAACCAAAGATACATGGCATTGAACTGTAATGGTACATCACAGCATGTTTTATGGTATACGTTATATTTCTATTGCACTGGCTTTAACATAAGATATAAGTCCTAGCTCAACGATAAATTACAAGTTTCGTAAGGTACATTACAAACCTAATCTGTTTTAACATGGCAATAAGAGTCCAGTACCAAGATCCTGCGTTATGTTAATGATTCGCATGACAGATACTAGCCTGAATATGTAAAAGTCATATTTTCATACCCCTTTGTTGAGGCCATTATCTCTATTCAGACGTAGCTCTACGTTCGGAGGCGAATCATGTGCAGCCACGTCAGCGGTACCGAGCACGGCATTAAGCAGTACCGAGCTGCGGTACCGTGCAGTACCGAGTCACGGTACCGAGCAGGGGTGACGTGGCGCATTCTGGTTAGTCTCTAGACGGCGTTCAGCATCCGCACAGAATAATCTTTCATGGATGTGAAGTTTTAATATTCTTGCGAAGTTAGGAGGAAGTGGAGGAATCATTCATCATCAATTTGTTTCATCATTTTTTTATCATAATCCTTAATGGCGTTAGATGTCTTGTGTTTTCTATCCGACCTTGATCTCAGAAAGTTGCATGGAACAGTGAACACACCAATGAACTATGGTTAGGATCAAGAAACCACATCAACAACAACCAAGGACAGTAAGGTTGCAATTTTGTTTTCATATCTAAAACTTAGGCTCCTTTTATCTTTCAAACACTTCTCTAATTAATTTCTAGGGTTTATTTTGTGTTTTGCATTTAGATCTCCATAACAGCATGCATAAATAGACGTAAAGTTAGCTAGAATGGATGCAATGTATTTACTACGTTCATATTTACAAGAACCAGATGATTATAACCAAAGGTGATAACGCACATGTTAGAAAGAAATATGGATAAGTGTGTTGACTCCTTGTATTTAAGTAGAATTTTCAAATTAAAAAAGAACATCGTATAAATTGCATAAATAACAAAAAGGAATTCTTAATACCACCAACAAAAAGATGATTATTAGCACTCAAAATTACAGTTCAACCATTCAGAAATAGTAATAAAATATTTAGATGGAACCAAGAGCAAGTGTAACTTACTGGGTGGCGACCTGAACTGATATGTATTTGACCAGGTTCATCATTACTCCCAAATGTTGGTCGCACATATTTCTACAGATTGTAAATTAGATGCACGCAGTGAACTAGAAATGTAATTATGATCATCTATGAAAAAAAAAGGGCAGCTGAATCAATCACCTGATTCCTTGAGAGAATGGCTAGTGAATGCAAACAATCCAAACCAGCCAGAGCTTGAACTGAAGCCTGAAATTGAGCATAGTATGTACCAAACTCTGTCAAAAAAATAGCCCATGTTTTCCTGCATGTAACAGCAAATTCTTCCTTCGCAAGCACCAACTTATCCAATGTTGCCAAGACCTCTGGGGTATGATATCTCACCGACTTCTTAGTACTATTGACCTTAACCCAACTGGAAGGAACCTTGGTATCAGAAGATAACTGCACTTACAAGATTGATGCAAATTAGATCGCCAAATAAAAATATTTTCATGTTTCAGTCATCTTACCACAATTCCAAATTAACATGACCACCAAAGAGTCGAGCATGAGAAACCTTTAGAATGACACGAGAAGTAATTGAAGTAAAAGATAACACCATTGAAAGCAAATGATGAAAGGGTAACCCTACTGAAACTAGTCCAGCTTCAAACATATGCATATATTTGCAGCCAATCTCATAAGTTATTTAAGGCATCACTAAAAAGATTCAATTTTATATTGTCTTACATTGATTTCAGTTGTAGGCTTTAGTAACCTAGTGAGCTGTCAGCTCACTATGTGGTTTTACATATTTTCAAGAAGAGATCACGATCTAGTGGAGTAAGGACAGGTCTGATATTCAAGTTTTTTTTATTTTTTTGCATTTTTCTTAATTTTATTATTTTTGTAGTCAATAGCTAAAAGATAGAATGATGAATGAATTGATTGAAGTATTGACTATTATATATGAATTTTGAGGAATGAATATAATTTGTAATTGCTTTCATTGGATTGATTTGTATTGGTATATTCATAGAAACTCTAGTTGATTAATGAAGCGATTAAAATAGAAAATTCTTCCAAAATTTGATAATTGGGCATTATATATATATATATATAAGTTAGGAGTCTTAAAGGTTAAAAAAAATCAAATAACAAAGTAAATTACAAAACTACCCATGCAACCCTATATATATATACATCAAGGGTCTTGACTAACACCTTACACCGACACTTAATTATTCCTCCTCCTTTGTCAACTAGACTCTCTACATTCCTGCTTCTCAGTCAACTAAACTATATTATGTCTTGATGAAGGTCAAGATAACATTTGATATTGTTCAAATTGAATCTGAAAAGCCAAAAGAACTTGATCTTTCATCAAGACACAAATACTCTAATTCTATAGGATCATTTGCATAACATAAACATGATTTATTTCTCAGGAGTATAATGAAACTGACATTGTCATGGTTTGTTGACATTCTGAACGCTTGATGAAAACTAGATGAAATAAATTGTATGTATAAGTATGCAATCATTTTGAAATAAGTAAAAAGATTAGTTCTAATGCTTAAATTTTAGTTTTATATGTTAATATATTTTTATATCCTATTTTCAATATTGATAATTTAATACTTTCTTGAGAAACTTTAGAACCACGTGATTTGCCATTTATTTTTCTACACGAGGGATTTCAACTGAAGTTGCTACCTTCATTGAGCCCATCATTCCCGTTGCATCAGATCTCATAGATGATTACACTACAGCTAACTCTCAAGAGGAGAGGTGATGCAAACATCAGATCCTAAAAGCCCCATAGTGGATTATAGAATTTCCATGGATGAACTAATTCTGGAGACGGACCCTAAACCTCCTTAGGTGCGGTACACTAGAAACTAAGAAAGAAGGCGCGAAGCGTTGAACAAAGAAAGACTGACTTCTTTCTATAACTAGAAAGAATTCTCTTTCTCTAATGAATGAAATAGGAAAATGAATTAGTTCATCCATGGAAATTCTATAGTCCACTAGTTGGAGTAGCAAATCATAAGGCTAAGTCGGGAAGGCTTTCTAAGCCTACACTACAGACTGCAGGTAGTTCACAACCAAAAAATTAGAATCAATAACTCGACCCCCATCTATCATGATCAAAACTGTTTTCGAGATTCAAAGACCGCTTATGGAGAAGTCTTTCTCGTGTGTTGGCGAGTGACTTGCCATAGTTTACTGACCCGTACTCATTCCCAAGCCTAAGATCCCAATCCTTTTCGTCATAGAATTCCACGACTTGCAAACTAGACTTTCACCATCATACTTGGAAACATACCTCTGAAATGCTCTTAACACTTGGAGTTAGTTATCAGTCATTTTCATCATTCTCATCATCACAGAAGCTGCTTCAGCTACTGACCAGTCAGTCAAAATTTTGATTGCCCGAGAACCGCTTTCCTAGTCAAGGATGCCCTGTATATTTAGATTTCGGATTCCGCCCGTAGCACCTTTCCTTCCGTATTTTCTTTGTTTTCTGCCTTCAAGCACTTTGCTACCGGGTTGCTACCGATTCCCTTTAAGGTAAGGAGCGTTACTGGCTACTCTAAGAAGAAGATGCGAGGAACAAAGGCTACTCTCATCATTTGCTTTACACTTGAAATTCTCAACCTATTTTCTTTCGATATGCTGAAAACTTGGAGTTATCAACGGAACTACTTTTTTTATCCTGCACGAGCTCCTTCATGCATCCCATAGTGAAGGTCTTACCTTGCCTTATTTCTTACATACTACATACTCCATTTGTTGCCCAACCTGGTTGAAGCCTCGATTCGAGCCATTACTAGTTCAAAAGCATTTCCATATTCTTTTATTCTCGTTTAGTTCCTGCAAGCAAGCCTACTCGTTCTCATCGATATTTTCTTTTTCTCTTTCTTATCAGAGTCTCAGCCGTTTACGAGGCGTTAGAGAGAAGATTCATTCCTAGAAATCAGACAATCGTACCATACCGAATTACAAATTTGAGATTGGAGGTAATGCAATTGGAGGAGCTCGCATCGCCGTGCATCCACTTCCTCGGGCCGAGTCCCTACATCTGCTTCAGCTGACCAAAGTCCTTGATTCGAAGCAGCCCCAACAGTCGGAATCAGATTGACACCAAACCTTCGTGCTTCTCTCTATTGCCTCGATTTCTTCTTTTCTTTCTATATACTCAATTCGATTTAGATCTTCAATTCAAATCATTTGGAATTTTGAACTGCACTAGAATGAGTCGAAAGCAAAAGGCGGAAAGTGATAGGTAAAAGTGAAGTCATTGGCATAGTGCGGTGAAGTGAAAGATTCTATAAGAATAGATAGAAGAATTCTCATTTTCTCTTTCTTGCCCTGCTAAGTTTGCCTCCACCCCTCCTGCTACCCTTGTAGATCAACTGGTGTCGGTGAGCTTAACTCATTGTCAGTAGTTCTCGCATTTCCCCCTGAAATGAAAAAAAAAAAGGAAACTTCCCCCGGACCGGACTCACGATAGCTGAACTTCTAGCTTTCCTTTAGGTGCAAGGAGAGAATGAAAACCTTTCTTCACTATGTGTCTTTTTCTTTTTATGTCATCTTCTCTGCCCTTCTTTTTCTATCTTCACTATCTTAGAAGTAAGGAGAAAAGCCACGAGATTCTTAAGGCCCGCGAGAAGCTCTAATATCCACCTTTCATACGAGATTTCGGATCGGAAGGATGTAGATTGTAGATGTACTGATGCTCCAATCAATGCTTGAAAAGGAGCTAATCAAAAACGGAAATCCAACGAGGATCATTTTGATGCCAAAGAGAAAATTGAAAACTAGCGCCTTTTTTCAGTTCGAGTCCTAATCCGGACAGCCCAAGTAATTTTTTTACAGGTAGTTCCCCTTAGACAAAAGCAAGCTCAAGAAGCTAAGCCCCTTTTTTAAGGCCATCTATTTTCATGTCAGTTACGTTCCCTGAGGTTGCCAGTGGTGAGTAAGCCTTTACTGTTGTCCCCTTCAAGTTGGCAAAGACAATCCATCAGACAAGGCCAGAAAGTCAGATAGAAAAAGCACATATACTCTTTGGAACCTGCCCTTTCTTCAGATATGAGAATTTCTCAATAGATAGAGGATAGAGATCTGGATGTTCTTTCTTTTTACTCGCGCGCGAAAATGGTGCCGCAAACTAAGAGCAGGGAAGGAACTAGGGCGGGCATAAGCTCACCAATTAGGATGCGTGACTAACGCATCTTTTTTCCAAATATTTCCATTTGGGCTGGGGGGTAACCACTAGCGAAGGGCACCTGCTCTCCCATTTCTATTCTTTGTTTTTTGTTCCAAACGCGAGAGTAATTCTTTCGATTCAGTAGAGCGAGAATCCCCTTTTTAGGAGTATATCAGGGACATTCTTCTGAGAAATCATAAAAGTAGGGCAATAGTTGACTCTTCAAACTTACCCCATCTCAGCTTTCATTGAAAATCTCGTCAATAAAAGGATCAAAAACCGTGTGCTTCTCCCTTCCTCTCCTCTCTTTCAACTGAGAAAGAAGAAATAAGGACCGAGTCTTGCAGGTCTGCTACTTCAGATTCATCGAGCTGGGTGCTGCTTCCTTCTCCTAGTTTTGTTTGTCTTTTTCGGTGATCTCAATGTCTTTCAGATTCCGCTTTCATCTGAAGATGAAGGAGGCATCATTAGCTCACTTGTCTTGGTTTAGTCTTTCGACCATAAAAGCGTAGAACAGACTCATTTGATGTAGGGATCGGGGAATGAGCTTCACAACAAAGAGTAGATGCGAGTGGTTCAAATCATGTATTAAGCCAACCCATTCTTTCTATCTATTCTTTTTATCAGTAAAGAGGTGCCTCGGGCTCTTTTCCAAGGGGCAGAGGTTATTGAGAAGCAGGTAGAGAAGGAAGGAAAGATCCCTTTCAAAGCCGCAAGCAAGCTGCATATCTTTTCTTTGGCTGATGGGCCCCTGCTGAGATTCATTCCTCGTATCATCTAGGAGTGAATAGGGCTTACGGAACAGCAACTGAAAGAGTTTACTTCCCGAGCTCACTGCCTCACACCACTGGCATTGAAGAAGTAGTGCTTTCTTCTTTGCTAAAGAGAATGTCAAACCTGCAAACAGAAGGCATATTCTAGCTCTTTCTCTTCCCTTTGGACAGCTTTCAATGGTTTCTTCTTTCGATTCTGGGCCTAGGGAAATTGGCTTCACTTCATTCATTTTAGCCATGAGCTGTCCTTGCAAGCATCATCTTCTATTGAATTTCATGTCTATCGCTTTTGTGCCAACCTTCTTTTGAGCCTAAATCGAATATTAAGACCCGGGGTCGAAAGAAAGACTTGCGGTAAGAAGCAAGGGATTACTTTACTAAAAGCTTAGTAAGGAAGTCGCATACGACAACGCTAAAGGTTTTCTTCAACTACGAATGGCTAGATAGAGTCGAGTGAGGCTTGAATAAGCTAATAA